TGCACCACCACACCTGCCTTAAAAGTTCTCTTCTTTAGCTAGTCTCTATTTACTGATGGATACTTCAGTGGAGTGCCTGCAGGGAGGCCCTGTACTCTCTGACAATGACTGGCCGGCCTCCAGTGGAGAGCCACAGAGGCAGGAGAGAATGAAGCAGGTCAGGGCATGGACAATCAGAAAGGAGGCAGGAACAGGGGGAAGAGACCCATGTCCCCATTCTCCATCTCACAAAGGCCCTGAGAGCACTTGTGGATGAAAGTGAAGAAGCTGAGAGAAGGTTAGATGCTCCCTCTGCAAGGCAGGGGATCCCACCCTGAGCCGCATCCAACGGTCCCAGAGGATTTTCCTTCTGCTTCTCTGCAGCCCCTGCACCTGAGCAGCTGGTCTATACCAGTGGTTCTCAGACAGGTTGATTTTTCTACCTTAAAACCATTTCATAGCTAGGAACATTTTGGGCCGGCATATCAAGAGAAGGGTGCTGCTAGTACTTACTAGATAGGTAAAGGCCAGCGATGTTGTTCAACCTCCAGGACAGTACCCCACCAAAAGCTACCTGGCTTGCCCTGCACACAGTGCCCACCCTGATCATGCTGAACCCCTCAACAGCTTCCAGGGTGTCCACAGCACTTCAGATCTGGGAGAAGCTCTGCAACAGAGCTCACAATCAGGATGAAGATATACATCAGGCCTATGTTCCCCTGGGATATCAGCCCTGGGACCCTGGGAGAGATTGTGGCTCAGGGCCATGGGACAGAAAAGGCAGATCCATCATACTTCCATTGTGCAGGAAAAGAATCAGCGTGATGGCTCTCTTCATAGACACCCAGCACAGCGTGTCCTTCATCTCTTTGGATTCTCACAGAGGATGGTCTACAGGAGCACAATCTTCCTCACTGTTGTCCAGATGATCAGACGAGGCTTGAGTGGTAAATAACCAGATGAGGCCAGAGTACTAGTCCAAGATCAAAGAGCTGCTTGGACTTCACAGGCAGCCTGCCTGTCTCCTGTCAAAGTCATGTGTCTTGCTTCTCTAGGGTGGCCAGCAGTCCACCTCTCTTACTTCCATTAGCAAATGAGGACATATTAACTTTCTTGTACATTAAAAAAAAAAAAAAAAAAAAAAAAAAAAAAGGCACCTCCCAGGTCCCTGTTGCTCCCACCCAGTTGGTTCAGTCTGCCTCCTCCCACCTCGTCCCCCTTCCACAGCCAGCCCCTGGGGGCCTTCACAGCAGGAGCAGAGTCTTACCATTCCCATCCTGCCACCCAGCTCCCACCACCCTCACCCCAACTCTGTCATCTGTCTTCCCCTGTGCCTCACAACACCTTCTCACTACTCTCCTGCTCCATGCTAGGCAGAGGTAAAATCTCTAAAGCTGTCATCAGATCTTGCCACAAGGGCCAGGGAGATGGCTCAGTGGAATAAGTGCTTCCCTGGAATGCACAAGGGCATGAGTTCAATCCCCAGTTCTGGAGAGAGAGAGAGAGAGAGAGAGAGAGAGAGAGAGAGAGAGAGAGAGAGAGAGAATACAAACTATTCAAGTTACCTTTGATTGTCTTGAATGGGGGGAGTTGTTGGTATGTTTAAGATCTTGCCACATCTCAAAGCCCTCCAGTGCCCTCCAAGGCCACATGGGGAGCCTAGATATGTACTTTTACCAGTCTGTGAAAGACACACTAATCCTCGCCACACTGGAGAGGTGTCAAAGAAAGCTGAGTGGGAGCTGAGACTTCAAACCCTAGAAATAGCAAGGTTCTTCAGGAGCACTGCAGTGTCAGAGGGTGCCTCAGGGTGAGGGATCTTGGGGGCAGCTAGACACCTACCCCACCAAGTCTGAAAGGCCTCATTCCCCTCCCAGCCACAGTAGTATCAGCAGAGGCTCAAAGCAGCCTGATACCTACCCAGCCCAGCAGGAACAAGGACCCCCTCCCACCGTGGGTAGCAGTGCAGCTAAGTGAAGGATCTGGACTCTGCTTCCACCTGGCAGGAAGGAGTTGGTCCCCCTCATGTAGTGACACGGTGCTAGAGGAAGCCAGTCACGATAAGGGGGACCAGTCTGTTTTTGCTTTTATTTTGTAGTACTAGGAAATGAATTCCAGGTCTTGTGCTTTCTAAGCAAGCACTCTGCCACTGAGCTACATCCCCAGCATTTTTTATTTTGTATTTTGAGACGGGATCTCATTGAGCCACGAAGTTGTCCAGTCTGGACTTAGTTGGGGTGGGGGGGGGGGCTGAGACAAGGTCTCATATGTAGTTAAGTAGCTTCAGTAGTTCAGTATGAACTTGGACTCAATATGTAGCCCAGGCTGGCCTTGAACTCACAGATATTTACCTGCCTCAGGCTCCCAAGTAGCTAAGATTACAGGCACTCTCCCTGCTAAAACAAAGTTTAAGACCCAGAGTCTCATAACAATGTAGGCCCAAATGCCTACGTTTTGTTTGAAATCACTTCTCATACTGAAGAAGCAGAAAGATCTAGAACAATCGGAATTATTTATTATTGACCAGACAGAAACTAGATTAAAAATAATGAATAGAACCTCAGAAACCTATGGAACTCTAACCAAATACAAATACTTGTGACATTAGAATCCTAGTCTAAGAGGAAAAAAGTGGGAAGAAGAAGAAGAAGAAGAAGAAGAAGAAGAAGAAGAAGAAGAAGAAGAAGAAGAAGAAGAAGAAGAAGAAGAAGAAGAAGAAGAAG